TCCTCCCACCTCAGCCTCCCAGAGTGCCGGGATTACAGGCATGAGCCACCATGTCCAGCCTTATATTATAAAATATAATTATTGACAAGAAAATATCTTGGCATGTTACATGAAGAAAAGCAGAACACAAAGCACATGTGCTATGATTCCATTTTTGTTATATGTACGTGAATAGGTTTATGTGTGCGTACATAAAAATTAATATATACATTAAAATCCTGGAAGACTATCCACCAAACATAGTAACAGTGAATATCTCTGGATGATGGCATTTTTAGGTGATTTAATATCCTTTTGCTCTATATTTTCCAATTTTCAACAATGCATATGCATTACTTATATAAGAAAAAAGTTATCTGACTACACAGATGAGAAAAAAAAAGAAGGAAAATTTTAAAACAGAAGAGTGTTAAAGCAATGGGATAGTGGGTATTTTTTTTCTCTCTCTCTTTTGCAAACTCTCTGGAATGTTCTTCCATGACTTCTATGACTTAAAATATTTTAAAAATTAATATTGAAACCACTACTGATTTGCAAGCCAATCACTAGGGAGAATATGGGATTAATTCTGCCACTCTGGCTTCTCTTCCTCTCCATACTCCTTCCTGTAAGTGTAGACATTTCTCTAGGGAAGCCTCTTGGTGACCTTGCGAACCAAGCAAGGGCCCAGTGAGCGCACAGAGGAGCTGGTGCCAAACTGCCATCAGAGTCTCTCTGACTTCCCCACTAATCACTCGCTGCACTATAAAAAGCCCTGATGGGAGAATGAGATCCCGGCCAGCTCTCCCGCCAACCGCCTGGCCACTGGGCCTCTCTGGGTTTCCAGTTGCTCCACCATTAAAGGCTAGATCCGGAGAGACTGGCCTCTAAGCCTCCCTCGTTCAAACTTTTCGGTTCTAGGTACAGGTAGGACATATAGCTAAGCAACAACCAAGGGAGACCCGGAAATCCACATACGTGTATCTACAAACAGCTAGAAAATCTAAAGGAGATAAAACAAAGTTATGCTAAGCTATCTGAAACCACGATTGCATGTGGACAAAGCATTTGGATTTCACTCGATGCCTCCACTCACTCTGTAGTCTCTGTTCACATCGCTGAGCTGCCAGTAATTATTGGGGAGGCCCATTCGCTTGTATTCTTCACTAAGATCGATCAGCAGCCAGCCTTGCTCTCTTTCTTCTTTATCCAGCATGGGGTTGAAGGAAAAGCAATATAACTCCTCATATTTCACTGCAAGAAAAGGGAGAATAAAGCCAGATCAAGCGAAGTCAAAGCCAGAACCAAATCTCCCCCAAAAACATCCTGTCCCAGCTAGAGTACACCAAGAGGCCATCCCAGCCCCCCTCCCCCTTGGTACACTCCCTGCAGCACCCTGTCTCTGTGGACAGGGTCACCCACCCCTTCCCAGCAATGACAAGAAGTCCGTGGGCCATCTGGATTCAACTTTGCAACAGCCTTTTGCTTTTAGAAAACAGAGCCTTCTCCATTTTGTTCTTTTTTTTTAATTGCTTTAAAAGTGAATATATTTTCTGGATCACAGAAATACAGAGTATAAAAATTAATTAAGAATGTAT